GAGAAAGGGAGCTCTAAATCACTCTAAACCAGCTGATGAGGGAAGAACAGGACAAGAATGGGATAAGGGAACAAATGCAGGCCTTCTGAAGGGCTCTGACCTAGGGAGGGGGCTGGAATGTACCGTGCTGTTAGCAGTGAGGTGGGAATGAATGGAAAAGGGCCACAGTGAACTGTACCATGCGATGAAGGGACAGAAGATGGGCCCACGACTTGGCCAGCAAAGCCGGGGCAAAGGTATGGGAAAAGGAGGGAAAGAGAGAGGAACTGGGTTCCAGTGGCAGGAGGAAAACGGGGAGAAAGGTCAAAGGTCAGTCCTTGAAGACAATCTGTTGGCCATGAGGACGCTCGTCGTGGGTGATGTGGCGCCGGACATGGATCCTGCGGACACGGTGCTCTCGGTTCTCCTCATCCTCCCCTCGGCCTGCCCCACCACCTCCAGCTGCACCCCCTGTGGCCTCCAGGAGGGCTGGGTCTGGGCCCCGGGGAGTCTCGTAGATCAGGATGTTCAAGGTCTCCTCAAAGATCCGGGCCTCTGGGAACTCCACCTGCAAAAGGCCAGCAACCCCCAGCTCCAACCCTCTGATCCAGATACATAGACATGCCCCTCCCCCAGCTGGCCCTGCACTGGCACACCCCTGAGCCTTTGCAATCACAGGTTCTTTGGCCTGGACTATCTTCTTTGCAAATTTTTTACTCAGCAAAGTCTTACTTATCCTTCAAGGTCCAGCTCTAAAGTCAGGCAGAGTTATTTGTTTTCTCTCCTTTGCTGCCAAGTCTCTTGGTATGTTCTTTCATTTGACAAATTTTTACTGAAGTGACTGCACTGTACCAGGCATTGTTCTAGACATTGAGAAGATAGCAGTGAACTAAACAAAGTTTCTATCTGCAGGAAGTTTACATTCTAGGGGGAGAACACAGACATACAAGTAATAAAAAGGGGGCGGGATTGTCATGGCCAGGAATGTTACAATTTTAGAGAGGGAGTTCAGAGAAAGTCTCTGGAAAAGGTGACATTGAACCAAGAGACAAAGGAGGAGGGAAGGAGCCGGGGGGATAAGCAGAGAAAGAGCAGTCTGGGGAACAGGCAACAGCAAGTGCAAGAGCTCTGGGGCAGGAGTGCACTTAGTATAGTAAGGAGGGAGGCAGTGGAGAGAGTGGAAAGGAGTGAAGTGAGGAAGTGATGGAGGGTCTCTTTGTGTGGCCTGGAGGGATATAACTAACTTTTAACAAGCTGCATTCTCATTACTGGTTTATCTTGTTTTCCCAATTACAGTGGAAACTTCTTAGAAGGTGGATTGGTCACTCATTCATTCATGCATGCATTCAGTGAATGTTTCCTAGCTTTCGCTGTGTGGCAAGTGCCTGTCTAGTACTAGAGAGATAGGAAGAAAAGATAGACCCCCTACGCTCAAGAAGCTAACCCCTTGCTGCTGGTGTGACAGCCCCCTATCTCCGCCTCTGCCTGCTGCAGACTAAGAAGGAAGTATGATCAACTCTGGGGTTGTGGGGTTGAAAGTTCATGAGCGAAGGTGTCCCAAAGAAAGCTGTGCTTGACTTGCGTCTTAAAGATTAAGCACAAGTTCATTAGGCAGACGGGGCTGAGGAAACAGTCTAAGAAGAGGGACAGTGTGTACAAAGGTGGGGAGGTATGAGATAGCACTGGGTGCTCAGAGGGTGTATCTGAGGCTCTTCCCTCAAATTAAGGTCAGAAGGAAGTAGATGCCATGACAGAGGGCTGGTACTTAACCAGACATTTCATTCACCTTGATTTGAAGCCTGGTGCAAAGCTTAGTGCAGAGTAGGTGCTCAGGAAGTTATCTGCTGATGACTGTCATGTTAATGACTCAGGAATTATACACTCACTTGTTCTAAGAGACCTGTGTGTTCTAAGGTCCTGAGGTTTTAAAAGCCTATTTTGAGTCATGGACCCTTCTGAGATTCTAACAACTATGGTCTCTCTAAATGGAAAGATGCATACACACTCCCAAACTTGCAAACCACTTCCAGATAGCCTGGAGACCCAAATGGCCTAGGTAAAGAATCCCACTGTAATCCAACACCTTCATTTCATGGCAGAGAAACAGGCCCACAGAAGTAAGGTGACATGCCCAAGGTTACAAAAGACCCTGGAACTTGGAACTGCAGCTCCTAGCTCCCAGTAACGGACTCTCCGCTGCCTGGTCTGCTGAGCTGCCTTTGTCCAGTCCAGGGTCCTGGTGCTGCCCACCACCACAGCCCTCCCTGATCAGACTCTGAACCCCTTCTGACCTTGGTCTGCTTCTTTTCCGTGGCATAGACAATGGAGGTGCAGCACACCTCGGCGATTTTGCGGCCCTGCCCGTAGAAGGACCAGCAGCAGATCTCGTCCCCCAGTACATCCTTGAGGAAAAGCAGCCGCCCATGGAAGCGCAGGGCCAGTTTGTCAAACAGCTCGATGTTCTTAAGTAGGTTGTCATCTGAAGTGCTGAGGACCAGGGGCCAGGAGGCCTCAGTACACTGGCTTCCTGCCCGCTGTTCCCCTAGCCTAGGGGCCCCCCTACCCAGCACTCTGGTCCTGCCCAGGGGTTTGGTGCCCAGCAGGGAGCTTCCTCCACCCCTGGGGCCAGGCTAAGCAGGCCTCAGGGAGGACCAGCATCTGCGGAGCAAATCCCAGCACAGCAGAGTGGCTCCCAGTGCAGGCTCTGGGGCTGGGCTGCTTCACCTAACGTCCTAGACCAGCTGCTTTTTAACTGAGTGATACCAGGAAAGCTACTTCACCTCTTGGTGCCTCAGTTCCCTCATCTGTAAAATGGAGATCACAATAGTACCGACCTCAAACGACTGTGAGGATATGAGTTAATATGTGTGAAGAACTGACAGCAATGCCTGTTACGGAAAAGCACTTAGTAAATGCCAGCCATTATCATCTAATCCTCACCTCAAGCCTGTTTACTGGTGATCACATTGAAGCTCAGGAATGAAAATGACCTGCCCAAAGTGCCCAGTGGGTAAGTGACAGAGCTGGAACCCTGATCTAGGCAGGCCTTCTCTTTGTCCCTCTGTCCCTCCCCATGGGCCCAGACCTGGGGTGTGCTTGAGCTCAGGACTCCACCCGGTGCACCTCCCGCCCCGTGGTGGTCACCTGGTGTAGGAGTACTTGTTGTTACTGCGGTTGTGCAGGAGCTTCACCACGGGCTGTTGGCGGAGAGAGCATGGAGAAGGGTGGGGGTCAGGCTGCAAGGAGAGGCCCCCGGCCTCCACCCTACAGGGCTCAGGGGCCTCACCTTGGAGGTGCTGGCCAGGAGCTGCTGCTCCTCCCGGGGAGATGTCACCGTGGGGATGAGGCACAGCGGGGACAGGTTCTCCCTTTTTTGCTGGAGAAGAAGCGGAAGGTGGTTAACAGCACAACCAAAGGTCACTCACTCCCCCACTTAAAAGCTGTCAAAAGTTGTTGTTGCCTTTGGGGAAAAAAATTCAGACTCCTTAGTGGTCCACAAAGCTCTGCAGGATTCAACCTCTCCGATCTCATCTCTACCACTCTCCCCTACTTGCTGGGCTTCAGCCCCACCCATAGCTGTTCCTTGTGCCCACCCAGGTGTTTGCTGTTCCCACTGCCTGGAATGGTCTACACTGTTGTATGTATGGCCGGCCCCTTCATACCATTAAGATAACTCAAACAGTACCCCCCAGAGGGTGCTGGTCCAATTCCTGAAGCTCCCTGACCACTACTAGAGTAAAGTAGGCTCCTCTACTTCCTTTTCACATTAACAGCTCATTCTTCATGGCTCTTAGTTCTTCACATTTTCTCACTTTGGGGTATGTTTGCTTATGATCTGGTCTCTTCTCACCTAGGGAATTCCTAGTATACAGTGGATGCTCAGTGTCTGTTCAATAAATGAACTTGGTTGGGTGGGATGAGGTCTGAGGCAAAACCAGATACATGGGCTTCTTTCCTCTTTCCTGTCTTTAAGAATCTTTATGCCAAAACCCCTCTCACCTCTCTCAACCAGAAGATCTCTTAACTAGAAATTCCAGAAGATTTTTAAAAATTAGGGCACCTGGGTGGCTCAGTCAGTGAAGCGTCTGACTCTTGGTTTTGGCTCAGGTCATGATCTCACCCGGTTCATGTGTTTGATCCCCACATCGGGCTCCGTGCTGAAAGCGCAGAGCCTGCTTGGAATTTCTCTCCCCTCTCCTCTCTCTCAAAACAAACGAACAAACAAACAAACATTAAAAGAAAAAAAACTCATATGACTTTTTCTAAAATTAACATGGAAAAATAAAAGTCTATTACTTAGGTCAATTTTTAAAAAGAACCAAGAGAAAAGACTGACTCTATCATATATTAATGTATCCTACAAAGCCATACTAAAGAAAACAGTGTGGTTTTGGTTTGGGGGAACAAACAAGAAACCAATGGAACACAACAGAGAGTTTGGAAACAGGCTGGTATATATATGAAAACATATTTATAAACAGGACACCACATATCAGTGGGGGCAAGTATGAAGTATGTATTGGTTATTGCTGTGTAATGAACTATCTCCAAACTTGGCAGCTTAAATCAACAATAAATATTTATTACCCTAGTGTCTGTGGGTCAAGGATTCAGGAGTGGCTCAGATGGGTCGTTTTGGCATAGGGGTCTCCCTTGAGGTTGTAGTCATGTCACCCAGTGCTGCAGGAATCTGAAGACATGCCTGATTTGGACGGTTTGTGTCTGAGAAAGCTTATTCATATGGCTGGCAAGTTCATGCTGGCTGTCGGCAGGAAACATCTCATCCCTGTCATCTGGACCTCTCCGTAGGGTTGCTTGCGTGTCCTCACAAAATGGCAGCTGGCTTCTCCGGAGCAGATGATCCGAGAGACCAAGGTGATGGGCTCAATGTCTTCCATGACCTAGTTTTGTCAGCTCTGTTCAGTGTGGAAGGAAACTACATGAAAGAATGAATACTAGGGAATAAGAATCACTGGGGACTGCCTTGGAGGCTAACTAACTCTACAGGCCACCTTCTGGCTTTGATTCAACTCCTTCCCATTGAAAAACACACTTCCTCCCTCCCAAGATCCCCCAAAGTCTCATCCTATTTCAGCATCACTTGAAGTACAGAATCTTGTTATCTAAGTCAGTGTAGGTTGGGATAAGGCTCCTTAGGTGTAGTTCCTTAAGTACAGCTCCGTAAACATTTCCACTCTATCTGAAGACCTGTGAACTAAAGAGACCACTCATCTCTCCCATATACCTACTATGCAGTGGTGGAACAGGCATTAGCACAATCACCGGGGCACTCTCGTTCAAACGGTTGGGGAGGAGGTAGGTGGCACACGGAAGTCACTGTTTCGTATCAATTCTGTAATCCAGTTGGAGGAATACTGGGAGCTCTCTGATGCCTACTCTTATTCAGAAATGATTCTCTATGGCTCTTGGCTCTGCCCTGAGTCATCCTTCCTTTTCCATGAAAGATAATCCATGCTCGCAGCTCCATGGTTTCCTGCCAGTAGAACTCTGGGGGTCCAAAGGTCTTGCACGGTCTGTCACTTTTGGTCCAAGCTGGCAGTGTTTCTGCCAATATAATTCTCTTAAAAACTTAATGGGTGTCTTGTGAGTCTTGGGGTTCAGTTCATTAGACAAATGCCACACCCACAGATCTTCGTGAGATAAGCTGTCCTCTACTTTGGGCTTGTGCTGAGACTGCTGAGGGGTAACACCCTTAAGTTTCTTAGAAGCACTATTATTTGATTCAAAGGTTCTCTGAGGCATCTTCTTGGATATTTCTGAAGTCTTAACAAAGGATTTTACAATCATATCCTCAGTTTCATCTTTAGATCATGTTTTACTGAGAATGCCCTATATTTGATCTTTGCCTGGAAGCCATTTGTTAATTTTAACATCATGCGTTACCTGGAAAGGCTGGGGACTTTCAAACCCAGTAATACCTGGCTCCTTTGTGTTCAATTGTTTTTCCTCTTGCTTACCCTCTCCTCTTCTATTTTACTATCAGCAACAATAAACCCAGTGGCACCTTCAACATTCTTTCTGGAAATCTCTTTAGCTAACCACCCAGATCATTAGGTACATTTTCCACTTTCTACATTACTGTAGGAGACAGTGTTGTTAAACTTCTGCCACTACATAACAAGGATCCCCTTTACACCAGTTTCCAGTAACATTTTCATCCCAGCAGCCTACTCCAAGGTCATCAGACTTCTGTGAACAGACCCTCTCAAGCTCTTTAGGCTTTTATTAATATTCTCCTCAAAGCCATGCCAGCTTGTGCCCACTTCCCAGTTCTAAAGCCACTCCTACACTTTAGAGTTTTGTTACCACAGAACCCCACTCCAGATACCCAATCTGTTCTCTATTGCTGGGTAATAAATTACTACAAATTTAGCAGCTTACAACAATAAACATTTATTATCACACAGTTTCGGTGGATTGGGAACTTGAGATCACCTTAGCTGGGTGGTCCTGGCCCAGGGTCTCTCATGAAGTTGGAGTCCAGACATTGGCCAGGGCTGTTATCCGAAGACTGGACTGGGCCTAGAGAATCTGCTTGAGATAGTTCACCCATATGGCTGGGAGTCTGTGCTGGCTATTGGCTGAAGCTGGCTATTGGCTTCAGTTCCTCACCAAGTGAACCTCCCTTGTCCTCGTGTGGCAGCTGGCTTCCCCCAGAGTGAGTGACCCGAGACAGGCAGAAATGGCAATGTCTTTTATGACTTGGCTTTAGAAGTCACACACCATCACTTCTGCAATATCCTACTGATTACATAGGTCAGCCCTATTCAGCGTGGAAGGGGACTAAACAAGAGCATGAATAAGGAGGAAGTAAGAATTGTGGGTGGGCATCTTGGACACTGGCTACCACAGAATGTTTAGTAGGTGGCATTGAGAAAACTAGTTCACTCTATGGAGGACAAAAAATAGTTAAATCCCTTCATAATTTACATTTATAACAGTGAATTCCATTTAGACCCATATATGAAAGATAAAACCATAAAGCTAATAAAAGATGTAGAATGGAAAAAACAAACAAACAAAAAACCTTTTTAAGCAAGACCCTGAAAGGATATACCATTAAGGGGGGAAATAAAGGAGCGGGGAGGAATTTGACATTAAAAATCAAGAATTTCACAGGAAGCCTGGGTGGCTCAGTCAGTTAAGCAGCCAACTTTGGCTCAGGTCATGATCTCACAGTTCATGAGCTCGAGCCCTGCATCAGGCTCTGTGCTGACAGCTCAGAGCCTGGAGCCTGCTTCGGATTCTGTCTCCCTCTCTCTCTGTCCCTCCCCCACTCACACTCTGTTTCTCTCTTTCTCTCTCTCAAAAAAAATAAACATTAAAAAAAATCAAGAATTTCTCCAGTTAACAACGGAAAACGTGACTTTACAAATAACCCCAGGTCATAATGTTGAAGGAATAATAACAATTATAATTACTCCACAACCCTAATGAAACTACTGATTCACATAAGGATTCTCAACTGGTGTGTGGTTGATAACTGCCATTCACACAGTGCATAAACTTTACACAGATTGCTTTACAGCTGGCACGAAGGAAGTGTAACTATAATGGAGGGATCTGACCATTATCTGAATCTAGGAGCCAATTCTGAGCATTACCAATGATGGGTCATATTAACAATATTATGGGTCACTTCATATAACACAGTATGAAATACATAAAATTACCCACAATGTATTCTAACCAAAATGTTTAGTGTCAAGTCTTTAAATCTACAGTCTGGTTTACAGAAAACTCAGAATAGGGTAGAGTAACAAACCAAATGACACCACAGGTAAACAACCACACAAATTTGGAAAGTGGGTCACTGTGCAAGACAGCTGGTGGTCTCTTTAACAAGTCAGCATGAACAAAAAAGGGATGGTTTCCGGCTGGAAGAAGACTTAAAGAACATAATAACCAGATGTAATGCAAAGATCTAGACTGGATCCTGGTTTAGATGAGTCAGCTATAAAAGATGTTTCTAGGGGCGCCTGGGTGGCGCAGTCGGTTAAGCGTCCGACTTCAGCCAGGTCACGATCTCGCGGTCCGTGAGTTCGAGCCCCACGTCGGGCTCTGGGCTGATGGCTCAGAGCCTGGAGCCTGTTTCCGATTCTGTGTCTCCCTCTCTCTCTGCCCCTCCCCCGTTCATGCTCTGTCTCTCTCTGTCCCAAAAATAAAAATTAAAAAAAAAAAAAAAAAAAAAGATGTTTCTGGAACAAATGGAGAATTTGTATACCCTGGATGTTAGATAAGAAAAAATTTTATTGACATGGAAAGATGGCAATTATTAACAAATAAACAAAAAAACCAGACTACAAAACAGCACATACAGCACGACCATAATTTGGCACACACACACACACACACACACACACACACACACACGAATAGACCCAGAAGGATATTTGGTGCTTTTATTTTTTTTGATTATCTGTGTTTTCTAAATTTCTACAATACATATATATACTGCTTTAAAAATAATAAATGGTTATTTATAATAAAAAAAAATCAAGGATTTCTATTCAACAACAGATGCCACAGACAGGTGACATTTCAAGAGAAAATACTGGCCACAATTAAAACTGACTAGAAATTATCTGAAACAGATTTTCTCAACTAGGATTCCTCACCCAAATCGCAAACCCAGCAAATAAATAATTTGAGTAACTATTTTCTCAATTCTTCCAAGGATGATAAGCAAATAGTACCATTCTAGCTGCACAGGAGGAGAATAAACTTATTATGTACAATATATGCCTTAGGGCTTAATTCTCCCCAGGAACTAAACTAAAATATGCAAGGATCTTCTGCAAAGCAACAAGAAAAAGATAGGAAACTCAGTAGAAAATTTGGTAAAGAATATGAATAGGCAATTCACAGAATGGGAAACCAAAAAAGTGAGTTAAGCATATGAAAAGATGCTCAATTCATTAGTAATCAGAGGCATGCAAATTAAAATGAGATCACTCCATACGAATCAGATTTGCAAAATTAGAACACTGGATGATGCTGTGTGTGGTTGAGAATATGCAGAAACGAGATCCCTTATGCATTGCTGATCAAGAGTATAAAGTGCTACAGTCAATGGGGAGAGTAATCTGATGATACTTGCTGAAATTTATTTGTATGTGTTCTGTGACCCAGCAATTCCACTCCCAAACATGAGAAACCCTGGCCCAGGATCCACACTCACAGTGGCAGGTGGCACTGTTTGTAGGGGAAGGAAGTAGGAGGCAATCTAGGTCTCCAACCTCAGGGGAATGTATAAATAAAATATGGTGAATACAAGCCATAGATTCTTGTGCAGCAGTCAGAAGTAAAGAACTAAATGTACATATAGCAACATGAATAGATCTTGAAAAAAGTGTTCAAACAGAAAACACAATCAATAGCTCAATGCCATTTATGGATATTTAAAATGTACATATATAAAACAATGCTTTTAGCTTTTCAAGGGTACAAACATAATCCAAGTATATGTATCAAAACATTAGAATTGGAGGGCTATCTATGGGTCAAAGGGAAATGGGCAAGGGACTGGGAATGACAGGGAAAAAGTAAAAAGAGAAAAGATTTGTATACACCAATAATGATTAAGCACCACACACTGAGGAGTATGATGAACTCAATTCTCTAAACCCAAATCTTAACAACAAAAACAAAACCTCCAGGCAAACAAGAAAACTCTGAGTGGGGTGAGGATGGGAATGGTGTCAGGGAAACCTGGAAAGGAGGCAGCTGGAGTACAGAGGAAAAAGCACTGCACCTGGGAATCCGAGCTCTGCAGCTTACTGGCTCTTTGACCTCGAAGGCATCCCCAACTTCCCTCCTTTATGTCAAACAGGAGGTACAAGATGTACACACAAATAGATAGCAGAATTGCTCCTGACACACAGTGGGTGTGAGGTAACACTGGATAAATGTAGAACTACAGAGCAGGAACCCACTTTCAAGATCATTTAATGCAATGGTTTTCAAACTGCAAGTGGTTACTCATTAGTGGGTCATGAATAAGTTTAATGGGTCCCAAAAAGCATTAAAAAGAGAACAGAATATATCAGTGTGTATTTCACTAAAAGTATCTTTTCATAAAACTCTTATTTAAGTTATATATATGTGAGTATAAAATGCATTTTTTCTTCTATGGGATGCAGTTTGAAAAACATGGATATTGCCCAAAGGAACTCTGTATGTTTGGATTTCCAGAACCAGTAAGTATTCACTAAGACAACAGAAAGTTGTTAATAGTTGCCACTTTTTAACACATAAAGGGCATTAAAAAAAAACCTCATTATCTCCTATTAATATTGTATCATAAAAGAAAGGACATGTTTAACATTGTAAAAGTAGAACAGAATAAAAGGCTTATGTAAAACTCACTACACTGTACATATTTTTCTTGTTTCCCTATCTTTTGGAACATGAGGACAGAATACCAGAGGTAGGAACTGATTCAATCAAGGTCGTTCAGTGAGCTGTGGGAGAGGTGACACTTAACCCACAGGTCCTGGCTATGCTTTCTATCTCCTCAGAATCCTAAGAGATCCATAGAAGAGAAGCCCAGCAGTTGGGGCTCTGGAACCCCCAACCTGTTGTATTGGGAGCAGTTCTGCTTCTAGGATTTCAATGCTATTTAAAAAAAAAAAAAAAAAAAAAAAAAAAAAAAAAAAAGTTAAGAAAAAGAAAAAAAACCAAACCTGGTTGGAGGTGGAATGCTGCCTCCCAGGACAGAACCAAATCACACAGGTCACTATATTCTAGTTTAAATTAGTTTTTTGTTTTTGTTTTTTCCTAGTGGCACATGGAGTTATTTAAGATTTCTGAGCAAGGAGGAGAAGAGATTGGGATTGTGTTTAAGGATCATCATTCAGGTGGTAGTGTGAGAGCTCCATTAGCCAGGTAGGAACAGCAAGGAGGGAGCAGTTATTTAACAACTGCATTAGTCCTGGCATGAGGTGGTGAAAGAGGTCCTTCTTGAGGCAGCAGGGATACAGTGGAAAGCACCCCCAAATTTTCTGTGGTCATGACCAGTCACAGCCAGGCCACAGGCAGCATCTCTGGACAGTACCCCATACGCCTCTTCTCTCTCTCTCTGTTTTTTAATGTCCTAGTATCTAACTGCTTGGGCAGCTCTCCCAGGGACACGGGCATAGGGTGGGACCCAGGGACCCTCACCTGCAGTGCTAGCTGGCAGTCCTCAATCAGGCCCTGTACCAGGTAGTAGCGCGCTTCGCCTAGTAGCTCCCCCAGCTCTCTGGTACTCTCAGGCAGTGGCACGGACCCATCCCGCAGGTAGTTGAGGATTGTACCAAAGTGACGGCCGCTCCGGTCAATCAGCACCCAACCTGGTGGGGTGGAGAGAGGCAGGAGGAAGGCTGGCTTTGCAGGTGGCTCCGGAGCTACTAAACTTTTATGAAAAACAGATTTTCTCTCTTCGAGTCTGAATACTGATCTGTCTCAGACTGCTGCCATCCCCAAGAACATCCCTTTTAAAAATCTCCAGTGAGTTCTCCCATAGGCCCCTTTTTAACAACATATTGCAGACACAGAGAATTAACTCCCTTCCAAGTCTGTCCCATGTTGAAAAAGCTCTCACCGTGAGAAAGTTATTACAGATTACCGTATCAACAAACTCTAACCTTTGGTGTTAATTCTGACCATCCTACTTAATTAAAATGCCTACCCCATCCTCCAGTTCACTACCATTTTAACCTTTATATTATTCATATAACTTATTACTATCTGCAATTACATGTATTTTTTGCATGTGTACTTGCTCATTATTTTCCTCCTGCTCCCACAAAAAAAGTAAAGTCAAGTCCACAAGACTAATCTTGTTTGATTCATTTACCAAAGTATCTCGGACACTAACTGATGCTTTACAAATAATTGCTGAATAAATACATTCTTCAATTTCAGATATTTGAAGACTGAACTCCACCTCTGAAATTTTAATTCTCCTGCTCTTACAATCCTCGTTATATCCCTCTAAATCCCCCCCGCCCCTCACAAAAACTTTAAGGTTCCACCGGGGCATGTGTGTCCAACCCTGAAGGCAACACTCCAAGAACGTAAGGTTCACCTGCCAAAGAGAACTGTCCACCCTCCATTCTGGTGTCCCTGGCAAACCCAAAGCAGCCCTTTTCTACAATCTGCATTTACAGATGAATCCCTAGAGTGTACAGGGACCTGTGTTACAGGAACACGCTAACAGACAACTCCTCCCGGCTGGTGGTTAGCAGTGCTGAGGTAGAGAGGCAAACATAAGGCTAAGCAGTTAGAAGGAACCTGAAGGTTGCCTGGAAGGGCGCTGCTGGCAGAAGGGCTGGTTCCCAAGTCGTTTGGGCAGAGGAGTAAAGGGTGGGAGAATTGGAGGGAAGTGATAATAAAAATTCTGAAGTGACATGTTGAATCACAACCGTAGCACCTGTTGCGGGGGGGGGAAGTGATGTTCCATAAACATTGGTTATTTGCAGGGGGTGAAGGACTGAGGGAGATTATGGATGAGAAAGGGGAGATAAGACGGGATGTGGGGCTGGAGGGAGGTGAATAAGAGTTGAGTGGACGATAGAGACGAGAGAGGGGGTAGGAGGAGACTGGGCGAAGAAAGGCAGACGGGGATCTGGAAGACCACACAGGTGAGGGCGGCGCGGCGTACCTCCCGCATCGGTGAGCACCTCTGCGCGGCCGCTGAACATGGCCTTGAGCATGGTGTCCTGTCCCGTGAGGGTGCGCAGCGTGGTGTAGTGCAGCGAGCCGCCCACGTTCAGCTTCACGTACTTGCTGTTCGGGGTCAGCGGTTTCAGACCGTAGGCGGCGGAGCCAGGCTCGAGACCCGAGGGCTTAGGCGCTTCCAAGGACGGGGCCTCGGCCGCCGCCGGGCCCGAGGCCTCGGCCGACATGCCGGGGAGTGGCGGCGGACGGCTATCCTAGGCTCTCTCCGCACCCTCCGGCGGCTCCCAAGTACCCGGAGACCCAAGCCCTCGGGTCACACCACCCGGCCCGCGGGACCTCACGCCGCCGCTACTCGGCGGCACTGGCCCTCAGCTCCATCGCGCCGATACCGCCCGGAAGCCGGGGCCGAGCAACTGCGCAGGCGCCTCAAGGTCCCGCCCCCGACCTCGCGGGCCGGCGGTGCGGAGCATGCGTGCTGGCCTTGGGCCCGGTTGGGAGACAGCGCTCCGCCTACGGCGGGGCGGGGCCTTGTGCAAGGTGGGCGCCCCTCCGCGAGCCGGGGACCCTGAGTGTAGGAGGCTTCCCCCACCCACTCCCCTCCCCCCCGGTCGCGAGTCTGCCGTGGAAAACGAGGTCTCCTCCGCGTCGTTGGGTCTCTGCCCTCAGAGCGCTTCGTGGGCGTGAAGGGCAAGGTTTCCCGCCTCCCATCGCCGCGTTTTTGACAAACTGAGAAGAGCTGCGAACAAAGCACCAAGGGAGATTCTTACAAGAGACTGCTGTGAGGTGGCCTTCTAGAGGAGGTGACAGGAGTGCTAGGGCATTCAGGGTGTGAGTAGGTAAGGTCTAGAGGGAGTGCGTCCCTGAGGAGGTGATGCGGGGCCGAAGCAGAGAAGACGCGGCCACGTGGAGGTGTGAGGGACAAGAGTTTCGGGCTGTGGGAAGGGCACAAACACAGACTCCAGGCCAGAACGCGCTTGGTGGTTTTGAGGAGCAGAATGAATGTCAAGGGTGGCTGCCGCAGCCAGGTAAGGGTCTCAGAATCACGGCTGATGTCACGAGACAGCCAATCCTGAAAGAAAGAAGGAATAAGATCGGAACACCTTGTTGACAAGAGCGTGTGTTTTATCTGACTGAATCTACTTTCCTTCTAGAAGCTGCTACTTCAGAGATTTAATAATGGGCCTTTAATGTCTACAGGGAAAAACGGAGTTGTAGTTTCCACCATACCCCCAGTTCACGGAGTGATCCTAGGCAAGCCACCTCTCTCTGGGCTTGGTTCCTTTTTTGCTTAGCGAGGGGTGCAGATTTCAGTGCCCAGGGATGGGAGTGTAAATGAGTGGGGTGGGCCATTGTAAGGCACTGGGGAGTAATGGGGCCTGGGGTGACCCAAAGAGTTCATGTTTTACCAGAAGGGATTGTCGATTGTGATTTTACAAGTGTAGCTGGTGAAAAAGAGAAAAGCAGCCCATCACAGCTGAGAGCTGGTGGGCACTCTCCCTCTAGAAGCCTTGGTATTGCCAGGAGCTGGCCTAGCACTGTCAGCCGGGCTATGGTGTTGTCCTTTTGAGCGTAAACAATTTCACAGAACTCCCAACATCAGACAAAGGCAGTCTCTGATGGATTGAAAGACCGTTTCATAATCATGTCTGAACACAAAAACAAGAACATTGTCCCAACCACAAAAATGACCAAACATAACTCTCCCCCACAGTTTGAGTGACTGCCTTTTTATTTTTTTACCAAGTACGGCTTTAATCCTTGATCCGTTCCTCCTAAATTCTAGATAAGAATTAAGATAACCAAAAAGAATTATCCCTACCTCCTGACAACTTCCAACCTAGTGCAAATCTCCCGTTTCTCAAACCCTCCTTGAAAATCATCCAACACAAGCCTAAATCCTGTAATAAATAAGTCCTTCCTAACACACGCTTGCTGAGATGTCCATGATGGGGTTCCCCATGGTGTGCCATCGCCCGTTTAACTACAGGTGTGTTCCCGTTGATCTTTGGCTGGAGGGCATTGTCAGAAATGGGGAATCCACAGAGATTCAGCTAAAGCCCTTACCACCGTGGACTGGAACCCTCCACTCTAGTAATAATGTACACATCTGAGATCCCTTATGTCTCGGAGGTGCCATCCTGTCCATGACCAGGAGCCAAGTTCTCACTATATTGAGCTCTAATATTTTGTTAAGACCCTTATGTGTTAGGATTATTTTGTTTTTCTTGGTATAATGTCCCCGTTGGTTTTTTGGTTATCCAATTAGATTTTTATTTTTCCTTGGTAAAATTGTTTTCGGGCTTTTTATAACTGCTATTATGGTCTGACCTCCTGTCTAGTGTTTTGAATGCCATTTGTCTATAACAGGAAACGTTTCTAGGGAAAGGACAGGTATACAGTCCTGGATGTCTAAGGGCATCACAAACCTGTTACTGCTCAAACTCTAATGATTGAACGTCACTTGTCCCTTTAAGAAGCTGGAGATGCCAACCACTCAGGGGTCATATAACTAGTTAGCATGCTGGAGTGTCATTTATTACCAGGATAAACCAGACAAATCACTCTATCAACCAATGCCCAATAAGTCTGTACTATAACGAGTCTTAGAGGCTATGAAATTCAAAAGGTATCCTCGGACCAGTGTCTTTTGGATAAACTTTGCAGCAGATTGCCATTTTAAATTGCTATAAGGTCTTCTTCCTCAGTTTTGTTTGTGTCCCTGCAAACTTCTTTGTTTCATTTCTTCTGACCAGAATCAGGACATTTTCTCTGGTCCCTGTCAATGAAAATTGGCCTTTGGCAAAGTTCTGCAGATGCAAGGTTGCACAGCATCCTTATGGATCCTTGTCTCAACTAAGATTGGGCCAAATACCTGCTTCCTTCTCACAATTATACTAACTTGTACCCTTATCTCTCTGACACAGTCTCACTAGGGACAATTTAGAATTGCAGTGGCCCCTAACAAGATTATTTATTTGAGAGGTACCTTAGAACAAAAAAAGGAAGAAAGTCTCCTGAGGAGATTATTTGTCTTATTTGTCAAAAGGAGAGATTATTTTATGGGGTGCCTGGCTGGCTCAGTTAGTAGAGTGTGCAACTCTTGACCTCAAGATTGTGAGTTCAAGCTCCGTATTGGATGTGGAGCCTACCTAAGAAAGAGAGAGACAGAAAGAGAGAGAGAGAGGTTATTTTGTTTAACATAGGTGATTATTTCATTTCCATACTTTGGAGATTAATAAATGCTGACTTTTTAATTGTATAGCTGTATTACATTGCCAAGTGCCTCATTTATTTTTTTTTAAATAGGCTGGAATATCATTGTGTGTGTGTGTGTGTGTGTGTGTGTGTATTATGTCAAAATGTGTTTTTGTTTTTGTTTTTTTTTTAACATTTAAACTGTTTTCCTTCTCCTTGCAGGAAAAACATGAATTAGCCTTTTAGAGTGATAGTTTTATAGCCTTAAGTAGCTACCTCTCACTTTTTTTGCTGTCCATTTTCTTCTCTTGGAAAACTTTAGGGAATTATTCTGTTGAATGTGTGCACTCTAGAAATATCTAATCTAGTTAAACAAACATGTCTAAACTAATTGTTAAACTATATATGATTTCCTCAGTGTGCACTAAAAAGTTTATTTATGTAATAGGCTTTGTTATTATAGTACAAAATAAGAAAAGGCCTCAGTTCAAAGATAAAGGAAGAGCTTTTGGCATAATCCAATGTCTTTAAATTTAAATTTGCCATGTAAAAATAATACCAGTACGATATTTTGGTTTGTATAAGATCAGTGTCAGTCTTCTTGTGATTTAAACCTTCTTATATTTTATATTGATTTTAAAAGTTAAGTAAATTATCCTAGTTTTCAGATACTATTTTCCTTAAAATATTTTTCTTTTAAAAATAGTCACCATGTTGGGGTGCCTGGGTGGTTCAGTCAGTTGAGTGTCTGGCTCTTGATTTTGGCTCAGGTCATGATCCCAGGGTCATGGGATCGAGGTCCACATCTGGCTCTGTGCTCAGCATGCAGCCTGCTTAAGATTCTGTCTCTCTGCCTCTGCCCCTCTCCTCCTCTCTCTCTCTCTCTCTCTCTCTCTCTCTCTCTCTCTCTCCCTCCCTCCCTCCCTCAAATAAAAATAAAATAAAATAGTCACCATGCTGTACATTACATCCCCAGAACTTATCATATAATTGGAAGTTTGTACCTCTTGACCACCTTCATTCATTTCCCTTACCCAACCCCTGCCTCTTTCAATCACCAATCTGTTCTCTGTCTCTATTAGTTTTGTTTGTTGTTGTTGTTGTTTAGATTCCATATATAAGTGAAATATTATGGTGTTTCTCTTTTCTTTATTTCACTTAGCATAGTGCCTTCAAGTTCCATCGATGCTGTCACAAATAGCAGAATTTCTTGCCTTTTTATGGCTGAATAGTATTCCATCGAATATACATATCAATCACATCCTCTTTATCCATTCATCTATCAGTGGACACTTGGATTGTTTCCATATCTTGGCTATTGTAAATAACCCCTTGGCTTCAATAAACATAGGGATGCATATGTCTTTTTGAATTAGTATTTTCATTTTCTTTGGGTAAATACCCAGTAGTGGAATTACTAGATCATATGGTATTTCTAGTTTTAACTTTTTGAGGAGCCTCCACACTGTTTTCCACAGTGGTTGCACCAATTTACATTCCCAATGACTGTGCACGAGGGTTCCCTCTTTTCCACATCCTTGCCAACCCTTGTTTTTTCTTGTCTTTTTGATATTAGCCATTCTCACTAATGTGGTGTGATATCTCCTTGTGGTTTTGACTTGCATTTCCCTGATAATTAGTGATGCTGAGAATCTTTTCATGTATCTGTTGGCTATCTGTATGTCTTCTTCAGAAAAATGTCTATTCAGGTCCTCTGCCGATTTTAAAGTCAGATTTTTTTTGGTGTTGTATAAGTTATTTATATATTTCAGGTAAAAATATCATTATTGGAGGTTTTTTTTAATGTTTATTTATTTTTGAGAGAAAGAGAGAGAGAGAGCAGGGGAGAGGTAGAGAGAGAGGGAGGCACAGAATCCAAAACAGGCTCCAGGCTCTGAGCTGTCAGCAACAGAGCCCAACGTGGGGCTTGAACTTATGAACCGTTGAGATCATGACCTGAACCAAAGTCGAACACTTAACTGACTGAGCCACCCAGACACCCTAATCCCATCATTGGATAGTCATTTACAAATATCTTCTTGCATTTAGTAGGTTGCCTTTTTGTTTTGTTGCTAGCTTCCTTTGCTGTGCTAAAACTTTTTATTTTAGTGTAGTCTCAATAGTTTATTTTTGCTTTGTTTTCCTTGCTTGAGAAAACATATCTAGAAAAATGTTGTTAAGGCTGGTGTCCAA